GCACCTCGCATGGCCGTTACCCCGCTGACTGCTCCGTGCGGCAGCTCTTCCCTGCTCCCAGCAGCTGACCGCTAATGTCCTGAGTCCTCCTTCCTCCCCCGACTTCTTTTTTTTTTTTTTTTCTCAACAGGTTTCCAGGGGCCACTTTTGCTGACTTTGTGGCAATTTTTCGACTTACAACTAACTCTAAACACATCTGTAACTGCATCCTATAATGGCTACACTAGCACCTGAGAAAAAATATAACCTTTCCAAGGATACTATACAGCAATATCTATCAACCTCTAATAGATGATGGATCCGTAACCCCTAGCTTTCTTTTTACGAGTAGTTAACATTTGATTTAAAGAAATTATTTTATGTGGTGATTAATACATAGGCTTGCACAAAGCAAACAGTTACAGCCCTATGCTGTACTATTTCCCTTATCTTTAGGAGACAATTTTAAGTGTACCTATGGAGCCATGCAAGTACCTTTTTCTGCTCCTGGACTGTTGCCAACTGCCTCAACGCTGGTTACGCTTGCGTTGTGTCGGGGTCCACCACACACACAGGTTGTTTTTAGTGTGTTTCAGAACACATAAAAGCTCTTTCTCAGGATGATCAACCTGCCTAGTTTAAAATCTTGTATGTTCAGCTCCTTCAGTTATGAATACTTCAGTGAGATGAAGGGGCGACACCCCCTATTTTGCTATGTAAAACTGAGCTGTTCCTCAAACTTCTGATTGACATTTATCCATTGATCAAATGCAAGGGTTGCAAGACCTCAGTGATGCACACGCTAACATCTTAAAACGGCCATTAAAAAAGAAGAGTATGTGCAGTCCACGCTGATCAACACTTTAACAGAGTTAAAGTAGGTTTTGCGGTAGGCCTCAAGAAACACTCTTCTTGCCAAGGAGTTCACAAGCTTTTTAAAAAATGTCCTGTAATAGTTTCATATGATCGTCACTGTTCAGCACTGAGGTGCTGCTCCCTGACATAGTGACTAAAAAAAAAAAACAAACAAACCACAGATTAAGGGATTTCTTTTCAGAAAATCATGTGCAATTTAAACCATATTCACAGAGGGTGGCATTTGGGATTTTTAATTAACTTTCATGATAAACTCTACTATACAAGTAACATTGAAAAGTATACATTTGGAGAGCAATCCTCCCCTCAACTTTAGTATTTCTCTCTTGCAGTGAGGTTCTCTACTCCAGGACTGTACAAAAGGCAATACCCCTCAGGTTTGTGTAGCTGTTTCAGGCACTTTTTTCAATTTCTACTTTAAAATATCAACAGTCCAGTTAACAGCAGGATTAATAGAAAGAACACTCCCATCAAGTATGTTTATTAAGTTGGCCCTACTACAAAAGGAAAGGTGAATTAAAGGTGATTTACTGAAGTTGTCAATGAGGAAACGTTTCACAGTTCAAAGTGCCAGGGTAAAATCAAAGTGAAGTAAAGGGCAGGCCCTGATCAAAGTTCTGCCAAATTACACTGGCGGTTTGTTCAGCACAACACGCTCATTTCTTTTAAAAGAGCAGTGAGGTTTATTCTACCATTGGTTCCCTTTCTCCCTCCTTTTTATTTCTGCCTTTTGTGAATGCAGCTGTTCTACAGGAGGCAGATATATTTTAAAGCAATCTTAATAAACCACAGAAGGGAAAATATAGTAGATATTTACAAGCTTCTGCCAAATTTAACTCTGGAAATCAGTTGTTTGGCTTATAAAAACTATTGTATAAAATGAACACTCAGTACAATTGGAACAAAAAACATTACACCAGGCATCAGCTTTGGGGTTAATGTAATAGAGATGTTCTAGTTCAAATACAGTTGTAATAAACAGTGTAAGGGCTTTTATGTGACTCTTGGATACTACATCATAACACAATTCCAAAAAACCACAAGTTTAACAAGAGAACAAGACCTAAAAATGATACATGTGATACCAAATAGGGCACTACATCTTTATTCTGCATAATTTGAGGGATCACAGTTGCTTTAGCACCATGAATAGTTGTACACATTCATTTCTTGTAAGAAAGCAGAATTTTAAAGAATGCAGTTAAGGCTAGCAAAATGTATATCCCTTTAATATCAAAAACAACATACAAAGTGTGATGTCCATAAAGATACTTTAAATGTGTCAGTGTCATCAATACTGGCGCACATTTTAGTATAAAATATCAGTCTAATTAACATACACAGTTCTGAAATATTAAAAATCTTGACAATATGTAAGACCAAAAGGCATATTAAAAATATGCCAAAGGTTACATTAATAGGAACCCCACTTGCTGTCTGGTATTTTAATGATGCCATTTGTCAAAAATGAAACGTATGGATGGAAATTGTTACTTTTTTCCTCAACTATTAATCTCTCCCCCACATGCCAGTGCTGCAGCTTCTCTAGTAAATGCGCAGCGCCTGGATGCCCTTGTGAAGATGCACTGCAGGTCCCACACACACACGCACATGCACAGCCTGGTCACACCGGAGGGTCAGTTGCAATCGGAGAATGAAGGTGCCTTGCAGCCAGCTCCAGGAACACGCCACTCTGGACCGCAGCTCTCCAGCGCGGGATCCGCTCTCCGCTCCCAAGGACGGCTGGGCCGCTCCACGCAGGCTCCCAGGGACGGATCCCTAAGGATAACCCCAGCGATGGCGGCATCCCAAGACACATCGTTTGGGGCTGCTGGGAAGCGGCTCCTGTCCCTTTGGCACATCTTGCCTCGTGCAAGTAACTGAACAAGGCGCTTGGCTTCGGGGTGGTCGTGTCCTGCTCCGGTGGGACCCGAGTATTCACCCAGCACGCGTGAAAACAGGGTTCAACTTCAGCCTCGCACCTCATGAAAAACCACCCTCCTGGGCTAGGGGCATTCAAAGGGTAAATGCAGGGAGGAGGTTTGAGAAAGCAAGGCTGAAAAAGTACAATCTCTATTCAACATGGCATGGTAGGCTATTTAATCAGCTTTTAAAAAATCCAGTGTCTCTGAAGGGAGCTTGGGGACGTGTATGCCCAGGCATTACACATATGAGGAGCCAAAGGAGAAAGATGCCTTTGCTTAAATTACAGCACAAAGAGTAGGACCATAAATTTCATCAAAAGGACATTTTAAATTAACCATTTTCTACTCATTTTCTTCTGAAACTTACCCTAAAGATATGTAATAGGGGGGAAAAAAAAAGGAGGAGGACAATTATTCTGTTTACAGGATGGAGGAGCAATGCATATGAAAAGCACTTAATGAACAGTTCAAAAGAGAATTTCCTTGGATCTCTATTTTAAGGGTTTTACTTTTTGAACTAGTTTTTGATTTTAGAATCGATTTCCAACAAGACTAAAATTGGCATAAATTAGATAATCAAAATATGAGTTTAGTACACTTGATACAAATGGGTTTCCCCATCTAAAATTATGACATTTATTTACATTTACTCAACCAAAATAAAATTGAATGTCTGGTGCTCTTCCGGTTCAGTTTTCAGAATAAGCACTGCATAAGAGAAAATTCTATTTTTGTATAAGTTGACTAAATATTATTATATTGGCTTTTTTGTTTCTGAAAAGAAACTTCAGGGCATATAAAAGCCAGTAAAAGTCTCCTCAGTAGCTGATCAGTTCCACTAATACCAACAATTTGAACATTTTAAATTCATCTAACTTTAGGGCACAGTCTTATTATGACCAATGAAGAGATTTTCCTATTGGAAGCCAACAGAACTGATGCTAACAGATTCATCTCTTAAATAACTTGTTTTCTAGCTGTTCTGAAATTGTGAGGGTTTTTTTCTGCAGTTTTACCAATTTTACTGTTGTAAAACAAGCAGTGACATGTGAAAGAGATTTGTTATTCCAATAACATTATCAGAGTTCCTTACTCCTAACACTCTGCATCACTCTCCTTGTAACATCCCAGGCTCAACTAGCTGTTCTTGACAACATGACTCCATTGTCCCCTCCATACTTATGATAAGGTGTCTTATCTAGTAAACATTAACTTACATTAGCCACTCCAATGTAAGAATCTGCATTTTCTAAACATTTTAAAAAGGTTCAGCAAGAACTAGTTCTTACTACTGTTACACTACTTCTGTATTATTCATCAAAACTTAACAGCAATTATTTTATATATTCTATCCCAGATCATTCACACAGATATTATAGAGCACCAGGTCAAGAAGACGCCACAAGGTCAAGGTGGTTGATAACAACAATTTCAAATTGCATTACTGCTAAAATGCAGCTTTTTTTTTGGCTCAAAACTCAGAGCTAAAACACATGAAAATAACTGTGATAAATATCTTTTTTTTTTGTATAACAAAGCAATATGAAATAAAAAATGCTTTCATCAAACACAACATCTTTTGCATCGCCCAGATAGAATACTGAATAACACATTCTACAGAAATTCGCCAAACAAGAACAGTGTAGGCTGTGTCATTTCAGCAATGAAGTCAGCATTTTGTAGTCATTTTAATTAACAATACTACTATTTTAAGGATTTTTTTTTCAGAAATACTTATGACATTTAAAAGAACAAGTCCTGGTAAAACAAAGAGATTTCTGTGCTTAAGGTTTTTTCCAAATGCCACCCCCCAAAAAGCCCCCAAACTCTCATGCACCTCATTATCATTTCAGTTCTTTTAAGCCTCACTCACATGGGACAGTGACTGAAATTCTGCAATTTAAGCAAGGTATGAGGTCATAGATGCCTGCATTATGTTGAAAGGATTTTTGAAAATTAATGTACGTAAACTTTTGAAGAAATAGTATTGCTAACAGTGTTTTATATTACAGATGCACATGGGCTTTTTGATAAATTTTATACAATTCTGGAGGAAGGAAAAATTACAAAAATAGAGACATGAAAGGTTCTAATTTTAAAACAATACACCCTCTAACTTATGTAAGGAATAGGTATTGTTGCTAATTAAGAAAACACACTAAAATGTGCGTTTAGTCTTAAAATCATGTTTAGTTTGTCCTTTGCTAACATGAAAACAAAAATTGTTGGGGTTGAATGGATCTGAAGTAAAGCATGTTTAAATATTCCACTAACTGCTGATTCAATATCCACAATTAAACAATGCATTTGGAAATGTTTTATGATAAACTGAAAAGCACAGTGTCCTTCTCATCCCAAGCAAGGTATTTTTTCAAATATTTTTTCAGAGAAAGGTGTTTCAAAAATATGTGCTTGCCAAACATTATGTGATTCTTAGGACTAAGTAACACGAATATTTTAGTATGCTAAGCAAGTCATGGGGTAATCGAAATGCATTTCTTTGTGTTTCAGTAAAACATGGCACTGTATCCTACATGCAATTGAACATAACTGTAAAGACCCATTATAAAGTTGCATGTTCACTTAGTGCAAAAATCTTTTCAATTGTTGAATGTCATTTTAATAGCTCATCTGTGTATTTGTGTTGAACTCAGTATTATTGCACTTAAATGTATTCTTTAAAGCTGTCGTGTAACAATTAAAAACAATAAGAACTTAAAGATAGAACAAAAGAATTTTAAGTTTAGTCAGATTCACAATACTGCTTCAAAGTACTGCTGTCAGTATGATTTCAAAACTATTTTGAAGTTTGGCTGAAAAAAACACCAATGTTAATAGTACTGCCTTGGTAGAAAAAGACATTACAACAATCTATCATTCAGCAGCTTTACTTCCAGACATATTTGCTTTCCGATTTTAACTTGTGACTACTCAAAACTTGCACCCAGCACAAATTTTATCCTTAATGTCCTTTGTCCATGATATTGTGAGAAATATGAATCAATGTAAGAAGGGGTCAGTGTTTAAGCAAACTGAGCATGCTGGAGTATTAAGAGAAAATAAAACATATGCTTTGTTTAATAATTTAGCTTTCTAATACAAAATGATTTCAGCAAAAGTTAAAGTTAAGGGAATCAAGAAGTAGCATATTCACATTCATGATACAGAATTTTTAGAGATTTTAAAACAGCACAAGAAACTTTAAAAACTAAATCAGTCATATAAATGTTTGACTATAAACACCCAGTGGTGTTGCCTGCTTTGGATAGGCCATAAAATTATTGAGGAGTCCCGGGTCAATGAATCAGAAGAAACTTTCACGCTTCCAGAGATATGTTCTGAGGAATTATAAAAATATTCTCTTCACACACAGAATCTCACTATGCAAGTACACACTAATGCTATAAAATTTCAAATACCTTAAAAACGTGGCTTGAACTCAAACTCAAGGACTTGTCAAAAAAAGCGTTCAATGGTATAAAAGATTCTTGCAATCTGAGCAATAGTTCAAAACTTCTTTAGTATCATGATATTTTCAGCCAAACCTAGAAATCTGATCTAGCTTTTGGAGAAGGGTAAGCTAGTAGAGGAGAGACAGTGTCATAAACCAGATTCCACTTATTTGACTGGCTTTTCTGCAGTGTCTGACACAAAAGTGCTTTCGTTTTCCAGCATTTTCTCAGTAGTTTCTCCATCGACAGTTTTTGCTCTTTCTTTTAACTTCTGCCGTTCATGGACCCATGGGATAAAACACAATATAGCGCCGCCAATAAGGGGAGGAACTCCAGCCAGGTAGAACGCAACGTCATAGGTACCCAGGTGGTCACGCAGCAAACCTGCAAAGGGACAAGACGATCACTGATGCACACTGGGGCCTTGAGAAGCTATCAAGAGTGTTAAACTTCTGAACTCAGAAAATTGCAGACTGACACAGATTACTGTAATCACTAATCTGACCATTGAAGGCCAAATATAAGCATATCCTTTTAGCAGAGTTCATTTAAAGTCTCCAAGTAGTAGTAGTCTTTAGTAGTAGAATTCAAGGAGAATTGAGGGAATGTTACCACTTAATGCTTAATTACCACCCGTTGTTGAAAACATGTATTACATTTCCTATTTGAATGGTGCTTATTTCAACTGTCAGTAGCACTCACAAGACATTAGGATAAACTGCGGTCAAAAAAGATTTTAGCTCAGGCAACCTTCACCTACCAAGAAACCTAAATTATTACCTTTAAAAATCTGTATTTTGTCCAACAGTCTTCCCTTAAGAAATGAAACAAAAGCCAGTGCCTTTTGTTTATAAGAAGCAATTAAAGTGATTAAAGTGAGTAGAGCTTTTATCCTCAAGATTGTTTTCACATGAGCGAGTTTTGGAATCCCATTAAACTTCAAATTCTATCTTGGGAGTCCTGTAACAATCAGCATGTAGGCTATTCACTCAACAGTAGGGAAAATGTCAGGTCCTCCATCCAATCTGGAAGCCCATATTTCTTTTGAGAGAAATGGTTTACCTCTGTATTACTTAAATTAAAAGACTGAAGCAAACTGTAAACAGTAAGAGTTTATCAGCAACCCAAGAGCAGCAGGTAAACTCATTGTATATGATGGAGCAAGGAACGGGAAGACATCCAATTTAAATGAACTGCATAATGTGTAGGAGCCGAAAAACTGGCAGTAACAACTCGAAACATATTTACAGCTACAGACTTGGTCTACACTTACCTGCAATCGGTGGACCAACAGTCATAGGTACTGACATGAGTCCCAGCAGAAATCCTATGGCCTGGGAGACGTCCTGAGCACCAACAAGCTCAAAGGCAATAGGAGCCATAATGCAAATGAAGCAGCCATCAAAGAGGCCCATGAAGAGACAGACAGCAATGAGGGCTCCAAAGACGTTGCACAGTGGAATCATCATAGACATAAGGCCAATGAAGAAGAATGAGGTTACCTAAATATTATCAAGGAAAAACACAAAAGTCATGCATTAAATCAGCAAAGATAAGGGAGTGGATAGGTCTTCCTGCATTTGTAAGGAATTAAGTTGCCCGCCCCGGTTTCCTTTAAAATAAATATTATCGTGAGCTCATTAGGAAAAGCCTGCAAGCAGACACCTGGACAAGACTTAATTTTCAACAGAGCATAAAAAATTCTTTCAGATAATATATACTACTGAGAACACTAAAGAAAGCTGATGCGAAGTAGTTGCAGTATGGTATGCAGAAATAGAGACGATCAAGGAACTGGGTTGCATAGAAATGTAAGGATACAGGTGAAGGATTTTTTTTTTTTTGTTCTTCTAGGAATTATATTACATAAAATATACAAAGCTATTTAAGGTGAGTCTATATCTAAGAAATAATGTGGTTATCTGCAGACAAATTGTAGACAAGACATTGTTGTCATGACAGAAGCAGCACTAAAATAGGAATCACTAAACGCTTTGGATCAAAAAGATAGAAAGTATCATTTGCTTACTAACCATCACTTACCAAGCAGAATTCAACAAAAGAGCTCCTTAAGAAAGAATTCAGAAAAGGAAGGATAAAGGTTAAATTTGCACAACACACTTGTAAGACTCAAGTTGCAGGTGGAAATAGTTTCATTTGCATTTGTCAAATTCAAATCTGAATCAATATTTGCAAGGAAATATGATACTCGCTACAGTGCTGTGAAAGACTGATTGGAGATCAAAAACTGACTATATAAGTATTCTTATTACTCTTAGTTATACAAAGATTTACAATTTAAAGATCGATATATCTCTCAAAACCAAAAAGCACTGAAACTAAAAGTTTTGGGGCATATACACTTTCTCTAGGTCCCCTACAAATTCTGTCTTGGTTGCATCTATGACCATCATGTCTACAAACACCAGTACCACTCAGCTTAGAGATACAAATGAAGACTGATGGTATGAACAAATGAAGACTGAAGACCAAGGGAATTGGATAAACATGAAGCACACTCATGAGATGCAGTGAAGAGTCCTTTTTTCACATAAAAATGCTGATTTGAAACAAAAGAGCTAAGGATGTAGATGTGTTACAGGGCTAATCTACAAGGAATATATTGTTTTCCTAACTATAATTAGTTGAAACCAACAATACTCAACAGAAGGGTCAGAATTTATGTCCTAAGAAGGAAAGTCATTGCTTTTTAGTTTTAGCCAAAACCAAACAAAAAAGCTTTAAAATGTTGTTGCATGACATACATCACACAGAAGCAAAGGCATTTGTGCCTTTTAAGATACGTGAGATGCTGCCTCTCCACCATTTGTCCTAATAATGAAATATCCTAAAAATGTAACAAGAGGCAGTGAAATGAATCCCAACGAATGAGATGGTTCCAGTCCCTTTTACTAGAGAGTCTAGATTTATGTAACTATGGCAACAAATGCTGCACATTCAAAAAGGTTTTCTTTTTCAGGTTTGTTTTCAATCATGCAGTACAAATAATAGCCGCTGGATGTCTCCCTTGTTTTTTTTTTTTTTTTTTTTTTGCACCACAATAGTGGTTAATAAATGCTAGGGTATTACAACTAGATCTTTTCAATAACCTGCACTTTCTCAAAAAATAATGCTGTGGAAGACAAAATGTATAGCCTCCTTCCATCCCCAAACATCAGCACTTCTGGAAGAATGCTGATTTATCTCCTCCATGTGATTTTCTACTACTCATTGAAGATGCCAAGTAACCCATTCCATTCAGCAAAACCTGCTCAAGTATCTCTAATATTCCCATGGCTGAATTATCATGTGATAGGCATGGGAGTATTTGCCACCTAATTAGTTATCATCTAATAAAGACCAAGGGAAAAAAGAGATCTAGAATCCTTAGTAGAGGCACAAGAAGAAATCTTTCTGTAAAAAAAACATGAAATCACAGGATAAAAGGCAAAGCAGAATCTAGAGAATCCTCAGAGGTTTTGTCACGCTGTGTTAAACATTGGTCTTTCATTTGCAACTGTAAACAGCCAGTCAGTACCTACAATTTGTTAGAAGCCCCCTTGTACCAAAAGCTATACGGTCAGCTGCTAAAGGTTTGAAATTCCTCACATTTGAGCATGCAAGTTAATTATGTTTACTCACAGCATCTGCAACCAAAACTTTTAGAGTATCATTTATCTATTCCTTCACAATTGCATGAAGACATACCTGTAAATAGACCTTTTTTGCTCCAGGAATATAATCTGCAACTCTGCCAAAGATCAATCGTCCAATTCCTGAGGTAATGCCCAGACACAGCAGAAGCACCTCTTCTGGCACGCTGTCACCAAATCTGTCTTTTACATGTTTCATCTGTTTAAAAAGAAAATAAAAATTTGCTTTAGAATGAAAAAATAGGAGAAACCCTGGAAAACTTAATATTAAAACACAAATAATCCACAAATCTCTGAGACTTAAAATTTGGCTGAAAAGAATAAACTTGCTTATTCCGCATTTATGGATGTTAGAGTATTTTTGCACTGGCGTGTCGGTGTCAAGTGTCGTATCAACAAGAAGCTGAAAATATGTTACTCTAAGTTACTGAGCTGTTAAGGAGGTTAGTTCAAGAAAACAACATTGCTACATCTAATATGGAAATGATTGCCCAAGTACATTTTTTTTTTACCATCAACCTATTACGATTAGCGTCGATAGTGTGGAATCCACAGAAGAACTGCTGGCTTCACTGGCCAGGGCATAATCTGAGGTCTAATCATCTAAAGTGATTAATGATTATCAGTGTTGATTACCAAATTATTATCAGTGTTTATTACCATTCATCAACGACCTGGATGAAGGGACTGGGTGCCATTTGGAGAGACATGGACAGACTGGAGATCTGGGGAGAGAAGAACCTCGTGAAGTTCAAGAAAGGCAAGTACAGGGTCCTGCATTTGGGGAGGAAAAGCCCCAGGCACCAGCACAGGTTGGGGGTCGACCTGCTGGAGAGCAGCTCCGCAGAGATAAGCCTGGAGGTCCTGGAGAACAAGCTGACCATGAGCTAGCAAAGCGCCCTCGTGGCCAAGAGGCCAATGGTATCCTGGGCTGCCTTAGGCAGAGCATTGTCAGCAGGGCAATGGATCCTCCTCCTCCTCTCCTCAGCCCTGGCAATGCTGTGTCCAGCACTGAGACACGGAGCTACTGCAGCAAAATGAGAAGAAGGCTCTGAAGAAGAAAGGAGTGGAGCATCTCTCATGAGCAGAGGCTGAGAGCGCTGTGACTGTTCGGCCTAGAGAAGAGAAGCCTGAGGAGAGATCTTATCAGTGTGTGCAAGATCTGAAGGGAGGGTGTCAAGGGGATAGGGCCAGACTCTTCTCAGTGGTACCCAGCAATAGGATAAGAGGCAAAGGGCACAAACTGAATCACAGGAAGGCCCTTCTGAACATAAGGCCAACTTCTTTACTGGGTGGTGATTGCACACTGGAAGAGGTTGCCCAGAAATGTGGGGCCTCCTTCCTTGGAGATATTCAAAAGCTGTTTGAAAGTGATCCTGGCCAATGTCCTTCAGATGGGAGGCTGGACTAGATGACCTTCAAGGGAAGAGAGGAAAAAAGTGCTGGATGCATTTTTTAATTTGTTCTGGTTCCAGAGTTGTGGCAGCATTGCATTTTTTTTCTCCCCTCCTTTTCAGCCATGAAGAACATACGTAAGATTCTCACGCAAGCACTTTTTGAAACACTGCTGGCAATATCAAATAAGCCAAAGTGAGCACGAGGAGAAGTAGAAATTATCTGCATTGTTCTGCAATCTCTCTCTTCCAGCTGTAAAACTGCACAGGCTTACCAACTTGTATAGCAAAGGCTGCACACTGATTTTTGATAACAATTCTGATTATGTGATATCATTTGAAACTTAAAAAAATCATTTCCATTTGGAAAAGGGAAATAATTCTTTTCTTTGGGAAAAGAATTTGATTAGATTTCCCTTTATTTGGACATAAAGGACAGATTGTTTTTTTCCCATTCTGGCAAATGGGAGAAGGAAAGCTCATGGTTTTCCCATGTCCATGCTTGTGTTTCTATCAATATCTGCTGCCCAAGTAGCAAGATAAGTATCTTTTGTCAAGTAATAGATATGGTCCATCCACTCCCCACGTGCTTTTTGAGGGGGAAGATACAGCTCATCTAGGTAACTCTCAATGCTGTACTTACAACTGAGTAACTGGATTTCTCAAGGCAAACTCGGAGGGTGAAATGCTGTCCTTTTTCAGACCACTGGGGTAAACCCTGGTTTCAATTCACTCCAAATATGAAAATAACCATTACTCATTTTGAGCAAATATCTAAATTACTATTTAGCTTGCAAGAGAGCTTCCAGCTGGATTCAAGGAAAAGCTTTTCCAGCATGAAGGCAGTGGAACAGGTTGACTGGAGAAGTTGAAAGTTTCCAAGGACAGTTGGACAAAGTCCTGAACAACCTGCTCTGATCTCATGGCTGACCTTGCTTGAGCAGAACTTGGACTAGAGATCTCCTGAGCTCCCCTCCAACCTCAGTTATCTCCTGATCCTATGCTGTGATATGCAGCCTCAGGGATATAGTCACTAGCAACCTCTAAGTAGTAACAGCATCATTAACTGAATATCTGAAAATACATCAATTCAGAATTTAGAATTGTCAGTGCTAATTCATTACAGCTTTGAAGAAATGTCTTGTAACCACAGGTTTTAAGTTAGTTTAGTTAGGATTAGGTATCTTAAATGAAATGTTTCCAGAATTCAGATTTCCCTAGATTTTTAACTCTAAAAGAGCTGTTCTGTAAAGACTTGTGAACTTCCTCAGCCAATGTCTCTTATCAGCATTCTTTTTTTCATTATCAAACTACACAAGCCATAAATATACAACTCTCTATATGCCTAACTGATCATCTTAATCTGCAATTTTGAATCCAGACATGCAAAACACTTCTACACTTGAATTATGCATAAGATTTAGCTGAACTAGGTATGACAGTACTGACAATCTATTGATTTACAGTCTATTTCTACTATGACCTTCACAAAACCATAGAGCGTTATCACAAAACACAACAATCCTCTAAACCCATCACTCACAGATTAAAACACATGGTTTTCTTTTCAAGCAAACAGTGCAAGAAAGGGAAAAGCCAAGGACAAACTAAGCACATTACAAAAAAGATATTAACAACAGACAGAACACAACTGCACGGTTACGTGTAGAAAAATCATACAGGTGATCACCTACAAGATGAAAATTAGATCTTCAATAATTTCAGAAAACTAAAAGCCTGGGTTTATTTCACACACACATCCTGAGGAAACATCAGCCTTCCCGATGATGTGCATGTGCTTCTACTTTGTTAGCATCATGGTTTTAATCAGACAGTAGTACCCTTGCTCCAACAAACAAGTCATCTAAAATCCCTGAACAAACTGATTCCTTCAAAGGCCTGAAGAAAAATCCTATCTCTTGCCTTGATAAAGACATAGCACGAACTTTGAAGAGAACTGTCCTGAAAGGTTGACAGTTTCAGAACATCCTGAAAAACAGAGCACAAAATAATTCCAGGTAAATCACTGCTTACTCTGTAGAAAAAAAGGACATAAGAATATGAAGAAAAAAATAACAGTGGAAAAAAACTTTGTTGCCAGAGAATCACATAAATATTTGGAACAAGGGTGATGTAAATTTAAAGGAAAGACATTTCTAATCCAGACTCCATTGGAGAAACTTTTACTGATGATCCCAAAACTAGCAATGAACCAGCAACTCCTTTAATGATCTTGACTCCTGAACATCAGGAGCAATCTGATCTTTATATGAAATTACACTGCCTGTACCTAATATAGATCCATTTTAAGGGAAACCTGCCAGCATTTTGATATAAATAAAGTAGCATTTTTTAAAAAATTAAGGCTGTCCGCATGACAAGGAAAAACATGCATATATATATATCTTCCAGATAATTCCTGTTTACCTACCTGACACAAAATAACAATGACGCTTCCCCTTTCGATCTCTGGCCAGTCTTAATCTTACATTCATCTTACACTTTCTTACATTTATCACAATAAAATCTCTTTGGTTGACATATTTATGGGAAAAAGTTTATTCAGGAGAATGAAACATAGGAAGATTTCTTGCCAGGACCAATAGGGTAGTGAACAAGGACAGACTGAAAAAAACAAGATTATTGTATGAGAATCAGCAGCCCTGTGCCACGTGCTCTGGGTGACCCTGCGTGTGCAGGGGTTGGACTAGCTGATCCCTGGAGGTCCCATCCAACCTTAAGGATTCTATGAATCAGGGAATTTTCTATTTCGCCAACCGGAACAGATTAAAATACCACAATTGCTACATCATTAAGATTCTGAACAAACATAATCTGAAATTCTTCAGTAAAACTGAAAATAACAGTTACCAGGTTAACTGTTAAGTTCCTTTAACATAAATAAATAATAAAACAGAATAATTCAGGCTAGATTAGGGAAAAATCTGTTTTACAACTAGGTAGATTTTTCTCCTTTTGCCCTCACATAGTCATTCATGAACAAACTAAGAATTTGGGGAGAACAAGTATGATCCCAGAGATCAAAATAGGCAATAGCACAAAACCTAAAAACGGGAACAAAACAGACAAGGACTGTTAACCAATAACTAGTTTTTCCACCTATTAGAATCAGAAGTGGCAATCCATTTTGAAATAATTAAACCAGTTCTCAGGTGTGGAGAGGACACCTGCTAAGAGAGAAGCCCAAGAGATAATAAGGGAATGGTGCAAGGACCATGCTGGAGATTGAAAGGAGGCAGCAACAGGCAGCACGGCCACAAAGACGCACGAGACAGTCCATGACTTATGCTCCTTCCCTCCTCGACTGTACTTTATCTCTTGGGATAACAGTTAGGAGCTCCTGAAGATGCCAACAGAGATTTCATTGAGCCAAAAGAGACAGTGGAAAGAAACGGGCACACGGATACTGGTGGACTGACCAGAACCAGGACATATAGAAAAGGGGGCACATCTCCCAGGGGAAGATCACAGAGACCAGGAAGAAGGTTGAGGACTAAAGCCAGGGATGCTTAAGTGTCATATACACACAAATGGAGACAGTTACATCATAACTTAGCTTTTAACCATTCTTTCTATTTAATTATCATCTGTGATAACAGTCCACATATTAGATTATTTCAATCAGTTTCAATCAGTTCCTTGTGGCCTGCAAATAGTGTCGCTTTTTTTTCTCTTATTCTCAAAACTAAACTAGCCGCTGTATTCAAAATTAACAACTACTGGTGAGTTCCAGAGTTACACACACGTCAAACCACGCAAAACAACTTTTCTTTATTGTGGGTTG